TTAGTCCCATCCTTTGGTTGTTCTGGTTTTTGGCCTTCCTAGCTTTCTCTTGGCTTTGTTGGCTTTGTTACCTTTGTTAGCTTTTCAGTGCGTGGCTTTCTGGTTTCCTTGGTTTCGTGCCCTTTGGCTTTCTTGCTGTGGCTTCGAGAAATTTGACTGTTGGCTCGTGGCTTTTCCTCTTTATGCTTTCGATTATTTTTGCTCTTTGGCTTGGCATGCTTGGCCCTCTTTGAATTGCGAGAAGAACAAGAAGAACAATCAGACATCCAACTTGCAACATCCAGCGGCTGGCACTTGAACAAGAGCAAAAACAAAGCAGAAACAACACCAACGAGTGGCTGGATTGGATGCTTTTCTGTAGCACCCTCCTTCCCAACCATCCCAACACCTCGAAATCTGTACTTCACCTCCGCCGCCACCCCCTCCACCACCACCGCCGCCGCCACCAGCAGCAGCAGCAGCAGCAGCAGCAACATCAAGAAGGAGGAGGAGGAGAATAACAACAGCACAAACAGCAACACCAAATTGAATTCATAAAAGTAAATGCAGCAAGAAAGGGGACAAAGACAGACGCACGAACAAGAAAAATGATAAAAAACATAAAAAACAAGAGCAATAACCAAAACAAGAGAAAGAAGGGCACGACGTATCAAGAAGCAAAGTACAAACAACAAGAAGATGACCAACACCTATATAATATCCAACTACTGATACCAGAACAGAGCCCTGGAATCTATATAAATCCAAAATGCCACACAGAGTAATTACGCAACAAGTTCGATCTCCAGAATTGCGCAGATTCCGTGCATGCGCTGGATTTCATTTCCAAAACGCAACAAATTTCACGCAAACGAGAGATGTGCGGTGAAAAAAGTGCATGTTGACAAGTTTACCTCCAAATCCGTGTCAATGAAAAAAAACCGGCTCGAAATGCTGCAAACACGATGCAAATCAGGAAAAAATGGCTCCAACATGCTGCAATTTCCCAGACCAGCAAAACACCCCAAACACCTGTTTTATTTTGTGTTGGGCCGTGGTTTTCTAGATTCCAAACAGGAAGAAATCAAGGCAATTTTGACCTGAATTTATCTATTGCTTTCTATCCGTGTGTTGATTTGAGCTTTGCCCACAGATTGAAGGAGGAAAACTCCACGGATAGAGCTTTTCGTCTGGCAGGCCATCATTCTGTACTACCTCATCACAGATCTGGCACCCGCCATTTTCCTGGGACTGGCTCTATGCAGCTGAGTCCCACTTGGAGATCGATTCAAGTTGTCACTAACATTTTGCAAGACATGGTGTATGTCTATATATATATAGATATATCCCCGTCCGAATTTCCTCTAGGAAATGGGTTCACCCTAGCGCGCATTTTGGACCCATTTTCTACGTTTTTAAAGTATCATTTTTCAGGTTATGCTTACGTGGTGGTTTGGGTTGGTGGTAGCAAGTAATTTTTAATAACATATAATAGATCATAAAAGTAAATCAAGTCAAATCAGTTAGTGTTTAAATCTATTAATTTTAAATTGAATTAAGTCTAAATTGAATTTAGAAAAAACGAGAGAAATCTGATTTTGAGGTGTTTTTTAGTCGAGGGCATTTTATAGACAACCGTCACTCTATATGGAAAATGGGTTCGTCAACCCCCCTTGCAATTCGGACGGGGATATATATATATCTATATAGATATAGATATCTCTATATAGATATAGATATATATAGATATATCAAAATTTAGATATATATCGATATATATATATATTATATTATTTATATATATGCAATATATATATACACTAAAAATATATTTAATACAAAAATATATATTATCAAATATATACCCAATATGATATATATATATATAATATAAAATAACATAATGTAATACAATATAATATAATATAATATAATATATATAATATATATATATATAATATATATACAGTAATATAATATAATATACTATAATATACTATAATATATATATAATATAACATAACAAATAATACAATATAATATAATATAACATAATATAATATAATATAATTTAATAATGTAAAAAAATAATTTAATATAAAATAATAAAATAACATAAATTTTGATATAATGTAATAATATAATATATATATATATGTGCTATGTACAATATACGTACACGTGCGCTGCACATTCTTCCAACTTAGTCTATACACTCTATAGATCCTAGAGTGTAGAGATTGCATGACATGAGGTTCCAAAACAGGTGTGGATTTTGGGATCGGAATCTGGGAGACCCTGGAGCCGAGGCAGTTTCAGTTTCATTTTGCGCTACTCTCAGAGCTCAAATCTAGAATTTGTGACTGTGGCAGGCACGGGGGTTCTGTCATTGACTTTCTCCTTGTGCTCTTCATCCTCATCTGGCCATGTTTGCCGATCAAAAAACTGAGGTCATTTGTACCAAAAACTTTTTCAGACAGCAGTGTAGAAACAAGCGTTGTGCGTTTTTGTTGAGCCTGTTTCCTGAATCCAAGTTACGTTCTTAAACTCGATCCAAAGGACTTGGTATGGTTTGTCTTCGTAGGGCCTGCGGATTTGCGCGACGGCACGTCAGCTCCTTTGTGAAAAAAACATGAAATGAAGACAGAGAAAACGCACATAAACATCGCGACAGAAAAATACGAAGGAAACGGAGAAAAACGTGATGTCAAGAATCAGATCAAGTATGCCCAATAGCAGGAGCAAAGGCGAACCAATAGAAGACCAGAACTCGCGGCAATGGCAGCAAACAAAACACCAACCACAGCCACTGCCAGAAACCCCACGCTTCAGAGCTCTTGTTCATGTGACGTTTTCGCCGGAATAAACCCTCGAATTGAAACCAGATGATTCGTGTGTTTTGACGTTCGTGGTGAGAGACTTCTGGCAGGTCAAGCAGCAATGTTTTCAAACCGCTTTCGGCCTCCTACGGATCATGCGTTTTTGAAAAGCACCAGAGGTGACATGGCAGATTGATGCTGGCCTTCTGTCTTTGGGGATTGTGTATTTGAGCCAGGGTTGATTTATTTTTCTTTCATCATCATGGTCAATCCTGTTTGAAACAGAGGCCACACTGTAGTCTAGGTTGGGCAAAAAAAATCTACAGTATGTTGACTTATGTTGACTGCTTTACGATTGGAACCACCTTTGTGAGGCATTGTAGTGGTGCGGACCTTTTGTAGTCAGCTCTTCTTTGGCACCATGGCATCTATCCTGGCAGAAGTGCCTTGAAGAACGTAGATGGAGTTGCGTCCAATTAGATTTCTCGAAGTTTTTGGGGATCATAGATAGTTCTAGAATGACTCCATGTTGTGGCAGTTTTTATTATGGAAAACACATGAGGAAAAACACATGAGGATAAAGTGATCAACCATCAATTTTGTTTGAAACACTGTTCTCAAACAAACCCAGTTGTGCTGTGTTTACATGCTCTGCGCCGCTCCAAGTTGGCAGATGGTTGTCGAGAATGGTTGGCAGAAAATTCCACAGCGACCTCAGGTCGAGCCCTTTCTGTCAAACGATGCCCGGTTCCTTCTTGTGGATTTGTCGAGTTTGCGCAGCTCGACCTGAGATATTGGACGTTCTTTTCAGGCCTTGTACTTGCATCACTTGATCAATGCATATCAATGCTGAGGCACTATTGACTCCTCTGGTCTGGTGGGCTTTCAGAAAGTCCCTCCTCATATTCAAACTGTTCTGGTGTGTGGCAGCCTCAGTTGGGCTTCAGGGGTTCAAGGGGGAGCACACTGACAGTATTCGCATGCCTGGTCCTTGCAATAACTGAAATTAAAATCAAAATTTACCCATCTTAACTTTGCAATCAAGCAATGTCATCCACACGATAAGTTGGCTCCTGTCGACTGTCCTCCCATTTTGCGATAGGTCTTTCACCGGATCTCGAAGCGCAAGTTCGCCGCGCGGGATTGGCAGTGAATTTGTTTGGCAGCATTGATGAGGGCCTGGAGTGGTGTGAAGACCGCATCCTCAAATTCAGGCTTCGATCTACTGATTTGGTCCATGCCACAAAGATTGAAGTGAAGGATAGCATTTCTCCATATTTCTCCCATTTGTAAATTCGGTGAAAACACCATTGCCTCAGGCACTTGGGCGACTCTGACCTGTCGAGCCTTCTGTTGGTGCCAAGTAGCAACAATCCGTCTTTGCCCTCGCGCGATGTGCCAAGGAGGGACTGTCTACGTCATAACTTGTCTAAAAAACAGGGTCGAGCATGATTTTCTTCATTTGTATGACCGGAAATTGGGGTAGTGCAATGGAAGTCTCGTGCAGCAGTGGGCTTTGAAAGTAGTCGAGCATTCTGCCACGATGGGACGATGGGATTCATTTTTCAAAAGCTGCACCTTTTCAAAGAGAAACAACTTGAAACAACCATTTGTTTTACCTTCAAGCTTTTCCATTCGTCTCAAGTTGGCCCTTTCTCTCCAGGCTTTCTCCCGCAGAAGTTTGCCAAGCAGTGAAGATGGCCTTGGGCAGCAACCTGGAAGAGCTGGAGCCGTTGCTGTTTCAGCTGCCGGTCAGCTGGCTGTTAATGCGCTTAATGGGTTCCACAGAAACCAAGGACCCCAAAAGCCCAAAATGGCAAGTTTGATAGGGAAAAATCATGAACCATGGGATGTTGATGTTAGAGGTACCCGAGGTACCCGAGGTACCCGAGGTACCCGAGGTAGCCATGTGCCGATCAAATTCTGGATCCACTGAGGTGAAGAAACATGAGGTGGTTTTCCACGAAGGGGCTTTAGCAGAAGGCCTTTATGCCTCTCAGCTGCACGAGACCGAGATCACCGAGATCACCGAGAGAAGCAGGGTCTGATCACTGGCAGTCTGAGACCCACCGAGACCAGGTTGTGGTGAGAGGTGCTCTACAAATCCAATATGGCAACCAACGAGGCATTGTACTTGGTCCAGGCGCAGATGAGAAATGAATTGCAAAACTTGATAGGATACAAGCTGCACGGACGTTGTTTTTTGTGGACAGCAAACATTTTCAGTTTTGGCCATCCTTTTCCGATTGTATATTGCTTTGCAGAGTTCTTCAATCTTTTGTTCAGCAAATGAGTTGGAAACTGACCTCCCGATCCTCCCGTGCACTTGGTGAACTTCAGCACTTCCTGAACTGATGTGCAGAGGTGAGGTGGTTGCTGACGCGAACTTGCACCGTAGCTTTGGTCAGCCGGACCAAGACAGCTCTCCGGGCCGTGGCAAGGCTGTTACTGCCGGAGAGGTTCTGTGTGAGGCGCGGTCCCTGATTCAGATTTCGGTCAACAGCTTCTATCAATTTTGTTTTTGTTTTTGTGATTGACAGCAATTGATGGGCATGGAAAACGTGTAGAGAGAGAGAGAGAGAGCTGCAGGAAACTCTTTGTTCACTGCGGAGAGAACAAGAACTTAGTCTTGACATGTCTTGACCTTTTGGAACAATTTGTGAACCCCTGGATTCCTCTCACATTTGGGACTGATCTTGGTCGAGATGGTTTTGCAGGCTGCACTCTATGCACCTCACCTTCACAGCTGGTCCTTGGTAGCCAGCGCCCCGAGCATGCTGCTATTGCTGCGACGTGTCTTGGTAGCACTGAGGGAAGAGCGAGAAAACCCACGGGAATACGGAATGCCTACAATGGGCCTACAAGTCTCAAAGCTTTTTGCTTTGAAGTCCTTGTCAGAATTAGCATTTACACATTTTGGGACAGTGCTCATTTTGGGTACACACATTTCCTTAGAAGGTGATTGCTTTCCACTAGGACAAGATTGTTGTCAGAACACACCATGATTCCCATGATTCCTGGCACGTGCATATGCACATGGGATTTATGTTCGCTTGTCTCATCTCCCTCTTCTCGTCTCAAGGTGACAACCTCTTGCTTGCCGAACAGCGACATCCGCAGGCTGCCATCTCTCTGCATCGCTGCTTGATGAGGTCGCAGATGCAGCTGCTTGGTCTTTCAATCTGTCACTGGTTGGGAAGGATTCTCACAGATCCTGCTGATCGCACCAATCCCTGTCTTCAGCACCACCAGTACCACTAGAATTTGGCACATTCATTGAAAACATTTGAAAACCAACATGTATTAAGACTGGGTCGAAATTATCACCTCACATTTGACTATCAACTAATACACCCAGGAAGTCTGGGGCTTGGCCCGTGCAAGAGATTGGCCCAGCTCGCCGCACAGCGAGCATGTGAGAGCAGCTCAACGATTGGGTTTGTCAAAAAATGGGACGTAGCCCCAAAGTCGTCATTTCAATGGGGGAATGATGATAATAATCGATATTAATTAATGTATATTATATATAATACAATATGATCTGTTGGAATTGAGGTATCCCATTTTTCGACATACCCACGTAGTTAAATTGCTAGGAATGACAATTTCATGTCTGAACTGCTTCAAAGAAGGCTCTATTCTGCTTTCGTAGCCCAAGATGGGTTGCGCACCAGGTTCGGTTTTGCGCAGTCCATTGCTTCATTCACTCTGTGGACAAAACTGGCAAGATCATTTGCACTGAGCATTGTAAAGCCATGGCGCAAGGACCTGTTCAACCGGTAACGGGGATTGCAAATCAACCAACCACTATTTTCAACGCGAATAATCCCATGATAGGTTGGCCACGTTGGCTATAGTATACTACACCAACCAAGCATAGTGTATATCATAATCTCTATTCTAACATATATATATATTATAGATAGGAATAAATCGATTAATAAGTTCTATCTATCTATCTATCTATCTATATATATATATATATATATTATACACACAGTATATATACAGTATACACAGATACATATTGGCAGACATGAATGTTTGGTACCTATGGATGATCATCGACCATCCTAGCGGTCCTAGCGGCCCCAATGTAGCCGCCAGGCCATGCTCCGTTTGAGCATGCCTTGCCGGACTTTGCAGCTAGGCCCGCTGGTGAAGGAACTGGCAGGAAAAACATGGCAGGCTTCGAGACTCCCAAAATGGGCTCAAGATGCACCAGAGATAAACTTGGATACTTTGAGGATACTTTGATACCAGAGATGATGAATTTTGTAGGTTTGTGGTACTGGCGCAGGGTTGGCCGCCCGCTGTTCCGAGCCTGCTGAATTGGAAGGCAGGAGTCAGTAGCGGGAGTAGCCCTATCTTGCCAGATTCCAGATCAAAGAATTGTTTACAGAACTCTCAAATGGAGCTATTATCGAATGTTTTGGACTGTTTTGGCATTTCATCATTTTGAGTTTGCACTTGGTCGCCAGCATTGCCAGAAGAGACCAGGTTTGTCGGTGGACGTCCTGCTGAAGCTGCTGAGTTGCCTGGGAGATGCACGCGATGCGAGCTGTGCTCAGTGTTTTGGACATGTACAATTCGTAGCTCAGCACGAATGAATGCAATTTTTCAAGTCATGGAGATACAGACCATCTAAACGTCCAGCAACATGGAACGGCGCAGATAACTGAGAGATGCCAGCACCAAGGCATAGAGCCATTGCAGAAAAGCTCTTTGGGCAAGTTGATGAGCTGGACCATCCCAGGCGATTGGTACAGGCGCCGGAAGATGCCGGAAGTGCAGCTGCATGACCTGTCTGACTCGTGACACAGACAGGGTATCTCTGGAGCTTCCTGCTCGTTTCCTCAATTTTCATGCATCAACTTGGGTCAATAGACAGTTTAAGATTTTTGAAGTTAATCACCTTTGACGCCCATTTCTCCATTTTGTGTCAGGGCAGGACCACTTAAATCTTGGCATCCACACTTGTGAAGCCACAAGGCAATAGATGGTTTGGCAAAGGCAAGACTTAGCGAGGCGCGGGGTCTTGGAGGGGTTTCATCAGAAATATGGCCAGGAAAACATGGTTGATCCATTAGTGCACGGCAAACTTGTGATAAGAGCAGCTAGCTGTTAGAGTTTAGTCTAGGAAGTCCAGTACTCTTTGAAACGAAAGACGACCAGGTTCAGCAAGTGACAAGGTAAGATTTGGGATCTTCCAGATATGACGCAAGAAGACTGCAAGGAACGAATTGATCGACAACCGTATGATGATATTTTTTGGAAGGGTGTGAATCGAGCCATTTTTGGAGGGCTCCGGAAACAGCAAAAGCCATTTGGTTCCAATGCAACCGAAAGTCTTGAGAGAATGTCTTTCGCCCCCGAACAGCATGCCGCTCGAAGTGTCCGGACTGCAGGCCGAACTCTCTTGACCTCCATTTCGCAGTCGACCAGGGAGCAAAGTTGTCCCAATCGAAACCAGAGCCGAGAGAGCCCTCTTCCTTTGAAACAGACTGGAAATTATGATCTCATGGTCCGCAGTGAAACTGATCGGGCTTCATCTCGAGGATTACCAGGTCAGGTACCGACGCCACCACAGCGGAGGCTTGGTGCCCGGTCTCTCAGAGATGATCGAGATAGCGTCAGAGACGGTGTCAGCGGCTTTCGAGGAGTGCGCAGTCGCGGTTCGGAACGGACCGAGCGCCAGGACAATTTCAGTCACTGGGCAGGGACCAGCTTCAGCCAGACTGGGCAGACTGGGACTGGGCAGACTGGGCGGACACGGGCAAGTCAGACACAGACGGCGACGGCTCAGACAGCTGGTGCATCGCGGGGCATCCGTGCTCCGCAACTGCAACCGATTGCCACATTGTGCAGAACGGCTTGTGAGGCAAATAGCAATTTCCGCAATCACATGGAAGACACTTTAGTGGTGATTGATCCTTTCTTTGGAGATGCCGAAGATCAGTGGGGATTTTTTGCAGTCTATGATGGCCATGGTGGCCGCCAGGCAGTTGACTACTGCGAACAAAAGCTCCACACGGTACTTTTGGACGAAGTCTCTGGCAAACTGTCCAATGACACCAGTGATGAGGCTATTAGTGAAGCCTTTGCACGCACCTTTCGTCGTATGGACGACCAACTGAAGATGTTGGGGACTTGGCGTTGTGGTTGCACCGTGACCGTGGTTTTGGCCCATCGGAGTTCCAAAAAGATGCGTCTCCATTCAGCCAACGTGGGAGATTCTCGGGCAGTTGTTATTGACGGCTCTGACGTCCAACGCCTCAGTCGTGATCACAGACCCACAGATCCAGCCGAGATACAACGAGTCGAATCTGAGGGTGGTTTTGTGGTGCGAGGTCGAGTAGTGGGACAACTAGGTGTGAGCCGTGCTTTGGGTGATCACTCACTGAAGAGTCTGGGTGTAACTTGGTGTCCATATGTTTCTGCTCGCGAAGTGTCTTTGGATTCAGTTTTGGTCATTGGATCGGATGGCTTATGGGATGTGTTGTCAGATGGGGACGTGAGGACGGTGGTGGACCGAGCCGCTTCAGAAGGAGTCCCAGAGAAAACGCCTGAGCTGCTCATCAAGGCCGCTTTACGAGCGGGATCCACCGACAACACCACTACCTTGGTGTCCTTTTTTGGTGATGTCAAATCATTCCTCTAAAGTCGGAACCAAATGAAGCACCAACCCTCACCCCCATATTCTCCCTGTCATGTGGAGCAATGCATCAAGTCAGATCAAATCTATGTAAAGGAACTATCAGATATCAAGGGCCAGCTGTCCAGCTGTCAACTGTGGTTCACATGGGCAGATTGCACGGCACATCGCTTGGAATCTCCCCCTTTCCCAATACCTTGCTTTCGCTCTGTCACACTTTTTGACCTACATTGTTACGTTTATTGAAACATATCATGATTTTGCAACAGATTCGAAGGTGTAGTCATAGATGTTGGTACTGAACATGCCGAACAATAGTGAGTCAAGCGAAAGTAGCCCAAGCAGTAGGTTTCTAGACATTCTTGGCGTCTTCTAAAGACAGGGGAATGCCATGTCTTGCGATTGTCAGTCGTGGCACCAGATCAGTGCCACTGGGTCATGCCTCCTGTCGCAAATTTGCGACTGACTGGAGGCACAGACTGACCTAGTGGAAGTGCTCCAAAGGTGTAATGCCACACCTATAGACAAGAAATGAAATGAACACATATTGGTTATTGGTTACCACCGGTTTGGTGTTTTCTGCAAATTCATGGTCCATTTAATCCATGAATCCATTTGTTGATGTTTGTTGCCACTTGATGCCTTCTGTATTTGTCTCCGAGCCTTCCAAGTGTTTCACAATTTTCGTGCCGCTCAGAGAGCTGGATCTTATGCCGAACGTCCTGGTCATTTACAAAGCAAAGTCCAGAGCAAGCTCGGTAGATTTATAGTTGGACAAACGTGCGACATGTTTCAAAAAGTTTCCGTGCAGTGTGTAGGACAATGCCAACAGCTACTAATGCTAATACCAGACATATCTTCTGTGACGTGAGGAAATCATCAGTTTAGGAAACATCTTCTGGCCACAAGAGATGCGCCATGATATCCGAGGCCGAGCTTTTGAAGCCACTAGGACTGAAGATTGTCTATCACATGGTGATGGCCTCAGGTGATAGATCTTCTGGCAGATCTTCGGCTAATGCCTTTGTTGCCTTTGTTGCTCTTGGTTGCTTTTGTTGCTAGCCGTGCGTTGGGTGATTGAACAACAGTCTAAAGCAAGCGCTCAGTCAATCTCGACTTTGAGAGACACGCCACAGTCCATTGTGAAACAACAGCTTGGAGTCGTCAGGTGGACTTCAGCCCCAAAGATGTGGCGAAAACTGCTTCAGCCTGTCAGCAATTGTCCGGAAACTCACGTGATCGAAATTGGATGGCAGATTTTCAGGTTGTGAAATGCTTCGAAGCTTGTGACCTGAATGCCCACCATTTCGAGGATTGGCAACTCTCCTTTCGCAAGTCTGTTTGTGTTGGTCATGCAATCCCCCCAAAAAACAATCATCTGCTGCACATTTCTGAGGGCAGGGCTCGGAGCCTTTGTTTCAGAGATGATGAAGCTGTGATCGAGGTTTCTCCGGCTATCTTCTGGTGCTGACTGATTTTGCTGAGGATGCTCAACGACGGAGCAGTTTTGGAGGCTCTCGTGCGGCAGGCCTGACGTTGTCCGGTTTGTCACATCTTTGGATCTGTACATGATTGAAATATATTGAAATGGGACCAAGTTATATAAACTTTTGGGAGGAAATGTGGTTTGTCATCATTTTTCACATTTTTCCCATTCAAATTTCCATTTCCAGGGCATCCGACATGTTTGGCAAAGCCATTGGCTTTAGGGCCTGCGACGAGCGCAGCGCTTGACATTGCCTCAAGCCGAGGTCGGGGCGGGGGCCAGTGGGAGGCTCCAAATCTCAAATGGTTGCCCATGATTGCAGGCAGTGGTGGCGGCGTGTCGTGCAGCGGAGTTTGAACATCCAGTGCTTGTGGAATTCCTTGAAGGCAGGTCCATGTCACCGATGGAGAACAGGTGCTGGTGTCATTTGGTATCAGTTGGATAGAGGAATTCTATAGATGAAAGGTTCAGGACCAGAAGTGATTGGCATCCAAAAAGTGTCTAAACTTTTGGTGCAGCACTGCAGCACTGCTTGCAAGAGCTTTTCGCATTCCATGGGAGGCATGCAACATCAGAAGAAGGAGTTGTCACGTGAGGTGAAGGAGAGTCCCGAGGCAGACGAGTGACGAGTGTGGATGGTTCTGTTGGTTGTAGGAAAAGGGTCGAGGGAGGATGCAGGCCTGTCACAGTATATCTTTGTGATGTTTCGAGTGATATGATTTTGATATATTTCGATGTATTTTGATATGATGTGGTCACATTGTCATGTATTTTTGTATGTATATATACATACATATACATATATATATATACATATGTATATATATATATGCATTATACATATATAGTATATATATATATACATACATGCATACATACATACATACATACTTACTTACTTGCTTAATTACTTACTTACTTACTTACTTACATTACTTACATTACTTACATTACTTGCATTACTTACATTACTTACATTACTTACATTACTTACAGGAGGGTAATTTAATTTGGGAATTTATTTTTTTTTTTGGGGTATTTTTTTTTTTCCCTCCTCTCCTGGTGGCTTCTGTGGTTCCTGGTGGCTCCTGGTGGCTTCTGCGGCTCCTTGTGGCTCCTGGTGGCTTTTGCGGCTCCTGGTGGCTCCTGGTGGCTTCTATGGCTCCTGGCTCCTAGAGCTCCTCGCTCCTATGGCTCATTTATCATCTATCGATCAATCTATCAGTGAAGCATGTTCACCAGGTGCATGTTGTGGATTAGATACACCTTGAGTATCATCTATCTATCTATCTATCTATCCATCCATCTATCTATCTATCTGTCTATCTATCTGTCTATCTATCTATCTGTCTATCTATCTATCTAACTATCTATCTGCCTATCTATCTATCTATCTATCTAACTATCAAACTATCTATCTACTTGATTCTATCTATATCTATCTATGTCTATCTATATCTATATCTATCTGTATCTATCTATTTCTATCTATATCTATCTATATCTATCTATATCTATCTGTATCTATCTATATCTATCTATATCTATATATATCCATCTATATCTATCTATATCTATCTATATCTACGTATCTATATCTATCTATATCTATCTATATCTATTTATATCTATCTATATCTATCTATATCTGTATCTATATCTACATCTATGGCTGTATCTATATATCTATATATCTATATATCTATATATGTATATATTTATCTATATATCTATATCTATATATATATATATCTATATATCTATATCTATATATCTCTATATATTTCTATATATCTCTATATGTATATATATCTCTATATATCTCTATATATCTCTATATATCTCCATATATTTCTATATATATATATCTATAGTTATATCTATATATCGATATACCACTATATATCAATATATCTGTGTATATATCTATATATCTATATATCTATATATCTATATATCTATATTCCTATATCTTTTAATCTATATATCTTTAAATCTATATATCTTTAAATCTATATATCTATATATCTATCTATCTATCTATCTATCTAAAAGGTTTGCATTATCATCCGGATGATATTCAAACCCCAAGCCAACCCTGAACCAAAGCTTATATAAAGAGATCTTAAACCAACCGGATGATAACATCAAATGAAACTATTGTGCATCGTTGTGCCTTAATCTACATTCCACATGTTTCCAAGGTGCATGTCGTGTAGTATATACACCTTAACTTGAGTATCACATTCAACCCAGCACCTTGCATGTGAAAATAGGTGTTTCCAATCTGCTTTGGGGGGAGGCGCTGCGCCCTCCCCCCCAATCCCCCTCCTCCCGCTTTTTTTTATTTAAATTCAAACTTGCACACATTTCAATACACTAGTTTGGTTAGACTATATATATATATTGTATATATATATACATATGGTTGTTTATATACACAGCTTTCATCCCAATAAATTGTAAATAATCATGTGCATGCATATGCGTCCACAAAAAATAGTTATTTGTATGTGCATGTTGTATCCCAAAATGAACTGTAAATAATCATGTGCATGCATATGCGTCCACATAAGTATAGTTATTTGTATGTACATATTGTATCCCTAAATAACCCCTAATCCAACCCTAAACAAACCCTAAACAGACTCTAAACCAGCCCTAAAGAAACCTTAAAACCAACCCTAAAACCAAACTCGGCAGATATATTGATTACACTTGTAAATACATTGATCTACATATGCATATAGTCATGATTAGTCATGCATGTATACCTACATCTATCTATATCTATCTATATCTATCTATATCTATCCATATCTATCTATATCTATCTATATCTATCTATATCTATTTATATCTATCTATATCTGTATCTATATCTACATCTATGGCTGTATCTATATATCTAAATATGTATATAATTATCTATATATCTATATCCCTATATATATCTATATATATATATATCTATATATTTCTTTATATTTCTATATATCTCTATATATCTATATCTATATATATATACATATATCTATATATCTATATCTATATCTATATCTATATATATATATACATATATCTATATATCTATATATCTATATACGTATATATCTATATATCTATATATCTATATATCTATATATCTATATATCTATATATCTATATATCTATATATCTATATCTATATATATATATATATCTCTATATATATATCTCTATATATATATATATATTTATCTATATATCTATATACCACTATATATCTATATATCTGTATATAAGGTTGCCTGGGAAGACGCTTTAGCTGATTCTGAGTGGACGCTACTGCTCCTCCTCAGCCCTCTCCCCCATACCCCCTTCCTGTTTTCTTATTGAGGAAGGAAAGAAAATGTTAGGAAAATGATGAAAAACCAAAGAAAAAGTAATGGAAAACGAGGAAAAGTGAGGGGAGTGAAGGAAAACCAATGAACAACTAAGAAAAAATAATGGAAAACGAGGAAAAAGTGAGGAAAATGATGAACAACCAAGGAAAAGTAATGGAAAACGGTGAAAAAGTGAGGAAAATTATGAAAAACTAAGGAAAAGTAATGGAAAACGATGAAAAAGTGAGGAAAAATGAAGGAAAACCAATGAAAAACGAAGGAAAAATCATGGAAAACAAGGAAAAAGTAATGGAAAACGATGAAAAAGTGAGGAAAATGAGGAAAAAGTAATGGAAAACGATGAAAAAGTGAGGAAAATTATGAAAAACCAAAGAAAAATACTGGAAAACGAGGAAAACGTGAGAAAAAATGAAGGAACACCATTGAAAAACCAAGGAAAAGTCATGGAAAACAAGGAAAAAGTGAGGAAACCGTGCCCACGACCAAAAAAAAATAAAATTCCCAAAACAAGAAAAAAAATCCCAAAAAAATTCCGCACCCTTACTTACATTACTTACATTACTTACATTACTTACATTACTTACATTACTTACATTACTTACATTACTTACATTACTTACATTACTTACATTACTTACATTACTTACATTACTTACTTACTTACCTACCTACTTACTTGCTTGCTTGCTTGCTTACATACCTACCTACCTACCTACCTACATACAAACATACAAACATACAAACATACAAACATACATACATACATACATACATACATACGTATATTATTTTGGGGTAGCCGGGAAGGATAGGCTCTGCAAATTTGAACCAGCTTAGTGATCATCGACAGGATCCAAGTGCATCAAAAAGATACATTTGTGGCATCTGTCAACTTTTGTGATTTATGAAGAGTGTGGCGTGTGGTGCCATTTTCAGTGACCCAATATATATATCATATATATATATAGCCCATACTAGTTTGAAAAATCAAGTCAATTCCAATGCCCGACATATGCTGCCCACCTTTGAGCTGATTCCAAGTTCACAGGCCGATTGGGAGAACATCGAGGACTTGAAGCAGCCATGATCGTGGTGTCAACCGGGATGATCCTGCAGGTTGGAAAATGCCATAGGAAAATGCCATAGGAAAATGGAGGTTGGAGGTCCGATTCCCACTACAGAAAACTCACTTAGTAAAAACATTACCAAACAGGATTACTTAGCTGGGTTCATCCCAGCTCCACGGAGCTTTGGGGCCGACGGAATCTTCACGTTTGAAGTGTGATATGGTTCAGGAATGTTCAAGATATGGGTTGTCTGAAAGATCTGAAAGGGTATCCCCAAGTCCCATGTAGATGTTCTTCTCTCGGCAAGTTTACACTGCAGGATGAGCCCATATTTTTTGAACCACACATCGGGAGCGAGGCGCGCTTTCTGGGGTACCACGTCAGGAATGCACCAGAAACAGATTGGAGTCATTTTTTGTTTTTTTTTTGGGACCGCATGGACTTTTGCCCCTTTACAAGCAAAAAGCACAGTTCGAACATCCGACAGCTATGCGGACATACCCAATTCGTTCACTGCTCTGCTATTGCTAAGCCAGGACTTGTCCGAAGACCGGACGGGACGTCGCCCAATTGTGTCTGCAGGCTGCTGTTGGGTCCATATTGTCGTTCATTATCTTTCCTAGCTGCCTCCAGTTCGATAATTCTGTCCAAGCAAAGACATCATCTTGGACCTTGGATGCTTCAATCTCTGTTTTGCTGTCAGTCTGAATCTGTCTGAACATAGCTTCTCTAGGCGAGGATGGAGCCACACCAGCTTCCGAGGCCACGAGTCGTCATGGCAGGAGTCGTAGGTTAGTTCACTGGCAGTTTGCTAGTTGGCCTCATGATACAGGAAGTATATGGAAGTATCATGCTTGTACACCGAGCTGAGTATTTCCGTAAGATCAAGGTGATTTATTCTCAGACTGTTTGAGGCCATCCACGATAGTCAGCCGTGGAAACGGGAGAGACGAGATGCTGAGGTGCAAGCTGAAAGGACCTCCGATGTCCTTTGACTTTGTGCAGTTTAAACATGTCCTTTGTAAACCCCCACCAGGCGTTGAGTAGAAATGGATATTTGACCTCGAAGCGTCGAAGACAATGTTTGGTGGAGGTTCGATCTGGTAACATTCTTGCCTTTGTGGCATGAATGTCAAAAATAATGAGATCCTGGGCAACATGTCTTCGCCGCAGTGTCTTTGCTCAATGCCGGAGCGCCCGTTGCTTGTTAGATCAGTTTGTCATTTTCGCGGCACCTCATGCGTTTGTGCCTTTGCTAAATTTGCTTGGCTGTTTCTGAAGCTGGAGGTTTTTCTTGATATTAAAAATAAGACTCAGAGACGTGCTAGCACCTTTGCTTGACAACCATGTTTTGACTCTATCCGAGAACTGATTCCGAGAGCGACGATGGAATTGTTGGTTCGAATGTTCGTCATGACAACCTACACAGTTCAGCTTGCTCGTACTCGTTTCATCTCGTTTCTTTTTTTGGTGAGGAGACAACTTCTATCTGTCATATGCCTTCTGGACGTTGGATCCGCCACCCGTCACACCGCATTTTTGGAGCAGAAGGCCAAGGTACGAAGCACCCGTTTGAAGGTTTTTCATCGTTTTTCCAGGTCATCTGTCATTCCGAGTCATTCTGGTCATTCTGGTCATTCTGGAGCTCAACAGTGTCGATTGAACTGAAAAGGAGCTAAGTCGACCTAAGATGGGATGCTAAGTTGAAAGATGTTGGCGGACGGTGATTCCTTTTTGGTTCCTTTTAATTGGACTACAGTAGACTGACTGGACACTGCTGGACGTAACTGGAAATTCGGGCAGGTGGAGTTGGTACCTGCATTGCTCAGTCGAGCTGTGCGTGTGGCCATGAAAGAATCAAGGACCGCGGTGGCCAGAGCTGAAAGTTTGGAAGCTGCTGCGCCCGGATGCCTGGTTGCTTTACGGAGCTTTCCATGGCATGATATACCAAGGTAGAGCATTGTACAAAATATGTACAGGAATTCTCTAGATTTTGGAGTTTGTAGGCTGGAATGATGTAGGTTCTGTTTTTCGATTATATTGTGCCCAACTTCAAGACAAAACTCAGAAATCTGAAGAAAGAAGACTATGATTGGTTTCTTGCTTTGAATACACAAAGGAGGACTATTGCCACTACAGCGATACAGCTCTTCTGAAGGAAAACATTTCGGTAAATGCTTGTCACTGTCACAAATCATCAATTGCATCAAGAAGAAACACATTGTTGTTGATAAATTTGATCCTCACCTTTTCTCATATTTTTGCAGAGGCGGAGCAGTTGTACTTTTTGAGCCCTCAAGTTTCTCCCCAACAGTGTTCCTTCTCCCAAGCACTTTGTTGCTTGCGTTTGATAGGAAAAACATAAACTGACTTTGGAGTAGTGATGAGCTTATACTAAATTGCATTTGGAACTGCTATTGCATTGACGTTCTTGCCAAGGTCGGCCATGCGCAAGGAAGCAATGCTGAAGGAAGAAACAGCAAAGAAGAGAAGCCAAGAGATCGACGGCTTGTTGAACCAAGCGCAACAGAAGGAGCAGAGGCCTCCCAGCTGCAAATCATAGACTGTAGACTACTTGGGAACATTTGTTTTTGCTTCAAGTGTTCAAGGCTCTGATATCAAGGTGCCAGGATGGAATCGTTTGTCTTGACGGGGCTTTCTGGCAGCTTTTGACTTACACGCTTAACCGGCGCCATGTTCGTAGAACGCGCAAAACAGTTTGCAACATGCTCAAAGACATCGAAACAGTTTGTACAACTTATATATAGAGCTTTGTAAACTGATGTAAACTTGTTACTAGAAGATCCTTGAAAAGACAAAAGAGATGAACGGTCTGTCAAAGAAGATAGAATTTATGTGAAGCAGCGCGGATCAAACATCACAAAATCCAGGTGGTGAAGCAGGTGTCTTTTCCAATCGAGTCTAGTCTATTGCGCACATGTGCCTGTCATAAGAGGCTTCTGGCAAAGCAGAAAGAAGTCTCAACGCTCATGGCCAGCCACAATGAATCGCAGGAGCAGTGGAGGACGCTGGGTGATCCCATCAATGATTGAATTGGTATCCCTTTCGGAGGGGGAACCAACATCGCCTTTCATCAACGATCAACCAACGGTTAACCGTTAAACCAGAACATTTGAACATACACATGGGTATGGATCAATACCTATTAATACCATTTTTAGGGGGATGAACATCCATTTACCAGCTATTTTGATGTTCACCAGGGGTACAAGGTTTTGACCCATCCCCACATTGACATCCCCAATAAAATCCTCATCAACAACCAAGAACTTAGATTCAGATCTTCACCGCAACATCGACCACATCCCCATTCAACCAAGAAGCCATCATTTGGGTTGTGAATTCATTTGAAACCAGCCATCCAAATCGTCATCCACATTCATATCCCATTCATATCCCATTCATATCCGATGATTCACATCTACATTCTAGAACATCTACCATTCTTATCCACATTCACATTCTAATCATTTGCTGAGAAACCTGCTGGTTTCTGAGTTCTTCCATCCTTCAGAAGGACTCAGAATGAAGAGCTCGAGAAGATGCAACAGAATATCACAGAGGAAAACCGATGCTGTGGCGAGCAGCAACACCCTGTGGTTGACCCCTGCTGGTTGATGTTTCCAATAACAAGTTGCTAATACTTCATAGCTATGACCATGGGATTTACGATGCATGTTAGGGAGATTTTGCTAGCAACATCGGGGCTAAACTACAAAAACATCGCATATGATCCATTAATGTTGATTGTCAAGCCTGAGGTTGTACCAACCGTGCATGATGGGGAGTTTGGGTGCAGTAAGTCACGGGCAATTGTGCTGAGACAGTAGCCGATGCGCTGTCTAAGCGAATGACAGGGGAGTATTGAGGGATTACCCGGTGCTGAATATGTGACATTTGGGAAGGTCAAATCTTCGCTTCTTTCTTGGGCTCCGAAGATAGTGAAAGTATGTGAAAGCCAAGGACTGTACGAAGAATTGAAAAAAAGGGTGGAGCAAGAAATTGCCAACTTGACAGACAAGCACCTGGCAGCATTTGTGAAACTAAAGCCCACGCTTATGTTGCATATGTGCTGGCAATTGGAAGTATAAAAACAATGTTAATGGCAGTTAATGGTTCAATTTTGAAACTCAGACTTCTAGTTGATTGATTTGACAGCGCAGCTTGCTGCAGAAGTCTGCTATCTCACAGCTTAGTGCTGACATAGAGCCTACGTGTGCCGTAGTGCTGTTGCGCAACCCCTTGGCTTGTCGAAGGCAGCACCAAGCATACCAACGGCTTGGAGAGCTGCAAGATGCATTGAATGAGAAGCAGGTGCGCATCGCCGTCAGAGAATAGCCGGCAACAACGGACATGATTTCTGAACTCGGTAACTGGCTTGCAAATTCTAACGGCTACAAACCTGTTTCAAGACACTTTCAAGCTTCAATCCCAGTGCTGTTTTCAAGTTCCAGAGGTGCCTCCTTTTGGCTGGTGCATTGTGCATGTTGGCAGGAAGATGTCTTGAAGCTCAGAGAAGAGGCTGAACATCATGGCCACATCGCCAGGCAGAAGCGCGCTATGGTCCTAGGCCTAGGTTTAGGCTAAGTACCTAGACATCAGGAGTTGGTCGTACCATCAATATAGAGGTTTACAACCCCAATTTAGGGAAGCGCAGTATTTGTTGAATGACATGGAAGCTAATGTCATATCTTGGAATTGCATAGAAGACAGATCGCGGATGCTGAATCGGAGATAGGCTTTCCGATCGGTTTCGCCTTTTCTGCTCCGTATCGCATCGTTGCTTCATGGAGCTTGGGATGTGGGAGGGCCATGCAAAGCATATTGAACAACAAGAGAGACCCCTCTCCATCAACATGTCACCTTCGGCATTCTCAACCCCTTTCTTCTAGCAGCAACCAACAGAATAGTCTGGGACAAGAAATACAAATTATATCAAATTATTGCCATCGGCAGGAACGCCTCACGAGCTGCAGATGATGTTCAAGCCAATCTTGCCGAAGCGCAAGATCTTTGGAGCAAACAGAAAATCTCGGCCGAAGAAGCTGAGCAGGAGGGATATCGACTGAAATGGTGATAGGCGACAGCTTGGTGAAAGAATTGAGCCAATCTTGGTGTTTTATTATGATACTCCAAGAAGACTTTATCTTCGAAAGGTGCGACGCATGGTAGGCAGTCAAACTCAGACTCCATTGCCCATGAAAGAAAGAGGTGAAATACGTTGCTGTCACTTCCTGTTTGGTATAAACTTTGGCTTAAATCAAGTTTTGCAGAAGGGCTGCATTTTCCATCATCTGATCCTAATGCTGCACGGTGTTGGCATTTGCAGGACTTCCTACACGCAAAGATGCGTGCAGATGCGGCTGAAAGGACGCACATGGATTCCGCCCGGGAAGTGGCGAAGGCTTCGGCGGTGAAAGACCTGGTGCTGGCAGCTCGCAATGCTTTGCAGCGTGGCCCGGCAAATGAGGTGCATGCATTGCATGCCCTGAGCCTGGGAAGCGATGGGGAGGGGTAGTGGGGTAGTGGGGTAGTGGGTGGATCAAGGTTACTACGACCTCACCGACAACCTCACCAAATCCATGGAGGAGAGGCTTTCTGAGGCGGGGATTTGCAAATCAAGGGCCAAAAAATGAAGTTGCATGCTGCATCGCGCTGCATAGCAATGGATTATCTCATGGGCAATGATTGCAGCCAGGATACTGGAAAGGCGGCTTGGGAGGAGCTGCGAGAAGATCCCAATACGAAACTGGCTGCTTTGGGCTACAACGAGATGACAACAGCATTCAGGCACCGGATAGATCTGGATAACACGGTCAAAATCCTTGGCGTAATATTTAAGATTCACTGAATGACGCCACTTGATTTAGCTGCTCTCTGCGCGGACATGATTTGTTGGATTCAGCTCACACAACTTTAAAGAGTGAAGTAATTTCTCACTGATACGAGCAGCATTTGGACTTGCTTTGCAGGCGCTTGTACATGAAGTCCAAGGAGAAAGTCCAGCTTGCGGTTCATTGGATTTTGGGATCTTGTGAAAGCCAGTCAACGCCTACTTGTGGTGCTGTCCAATCGGTCTAACCTGGTTCACAGATGCAGTACATCGCCTTGTGCTTTGTGACCGTTGCAGGACATGTACATGTTCGTGGCAGGAAGCATTCCTGAAATCAGGGAAAATGCGGAAGCGGCCTTGATTTTACAGTGCGACCCTGATGGAATACTGGAAGAGGATGACGCCTCAGTGCTTCCAGATAAGAGTGACGGTTGCTGAGTGCTTGATTGTTTTTTTTTACGACAGCCATGCCCTTGAGCTTGCAGCATTGAATGCATAATAATATCGAGAAGATGTTGGCGTCTCTGGTGGCACTCTTTGTAGTCAAGATGACATGATTGCAATAGGCAGTTTCGGTATGCGAGTGCGTCCAATGAGGAAGCACGTCGTTCTGGAAACATTACGAGCTTAGCTGATAAGTGCGGCCCTGGTTTGTGGCGGGCTTTAGGGAACCTCAGTTTGCAAGTGGACATCTGGAAGGTGGTCTTGAAGGTTGAGACAGAAAGCCAATCCACGATTCTTTGTCATCCATAATTCCAAGTTTAAAGATATTTAAAGCATTGGCAACATTTTAACACTTCCTTGCGGAAGAATTCTCCTGTGAGGTCACCAGTGATCTCAATGATCTCCGTGGGTCCATATTGGTGTCCCAGGATTGAAAGGGAGAACTTTCCCAGCCATGATGGAACCGTGAGTGAAGACTTGGACCGAGAGCTCTTGCCTGGGAGCCAGGGGCCGGTTTCACCGGGGGTTGACCTTAAAAATGGTGGCTTGGCGGGTTCTACACTTTTGGGACGGTCATTCTTTGATGGAAATACGCAGACCATCTTTTAGGATCCATAGTTATGATATGTTATGATACAAAAACGCTGAGGGTCAATGCCTGGACCAAGTCCTGTAGATTTTTTGGGGTGCAAGTTGAGAGTCAAATACAGTGCCGACGAAATGAAGAAAATGAAGAAAGCCCGTTGAGCAAATGCCTAGCAAAGGCCTGATGAAAATGAAGGAGCTGAAGGAGCTGAAGGAGCTGACAAGGACTTCCGTTGGTGTCGTGCTGGTCTTCCAGGGTTCGTTTTTTTGTCGTGGCCCCATGTGGCCCCCTGCCTCCAGGTTACTTGTTACATCTTGTTACAATTTGCCAAAACCGATTCAAGAGCAGACCAAACCGGACCAAACCGTGATCTACTTGAATGGTACCTGGCAGTCTTCCTTTCCCTTTGTGATGACCAAATGACCAAATGTAATGCGAATTGTTTCAACGCTTCTTGAGTGCCGCTTTCATTGCAACATTCCCATTCTATCCCTCCGCTCAGATCTTGCCCGGCATTCAAATGGCATCTGCAATCACACCGGTCAAAAGCATAGGAGCACTGAAAAGCTGTCACAAGAGCATTGGATGTGCGCTGACTGAGTTTCCATATCGAACTTTGGTGAAATCGCTGGAGTTGAGGAGACAGTGGAGACAGTGGAGCCAAGGGTCCAGCCACTCCCAAGAGCCTCCCAGAACTTGACGCGGATGCGGCTTAGAGACCGCCGAAGAGACAACATCAGCCGATGGCTTTGTCCAAAGATGCGGTACGTCCAATTTGCGGGGGATTCTCAATATATTTCAATTATTTTTTCAATCATTTTTCAATTATTACTACATCATAATTTCAAATGATTTCCCTATTTTGGACACACCCAGATCATGCAAAGATCGTGAGCTCAGCAGGATGCAAAAATCTTGCAGCCTCACGGCCGTGGGTGGAGAGCTGGGAGGGTCCTCTAAATTGTTTTGTTCCAGCTGGGATCAATCAAATCTCGAGAGCTACGTGCCTGATGAGCTGCTATGGGTGCATGGTTGAGGTTGCCAACCACTGTAAGAAATATTTGCAACGATGAAAGTCTGCCATTGTTGAAGTAAGTTGCCGCAGCAAGCTGTACAACCTGATTTCTGGCCTCATTGCTCGAATGTTCCATGTCAAAAAGCTTTGTGCTCATTCAGTTATCAATTTTGCGAACTCTTTGAGCCCGTGTTCCTGGAAAACATCTGACAGTTCCATTCTCATACCATTCCTGTTCCATTCCAATCCTGTTCCTGTCCGGTTCTAGTTCCCTTGCGCGCATGGTCCCATTTCGGGGATTTTAGATAGAGGTCATTCCAGCAAACAGCCGAGGGTTCAAGAATGTGCCATATACATCCATTGAGTTGTCCTGGGCATCGCAGGACTTCTGATCTTCTGGAAGACAAGGACTGTGTGTAATTAGTCCCCGATTGGGAGCTCTGAAACCCTGCTTTTGTCTCCTTGCAATGATTTTCAGAGGGACAAAATTGTGTACCAACGTTGGTACACACCGTTTTTTTGGGTGTCAACAAAAACAACAAGACTTCTAGGATATCCGGAAAATCATGAAGCAAGTTGAACGCAAGGTCGCGGGCTCAGTGACCCAAACATGGGACGCCAGGAGGCCACTAGATTCGACTGCAAATCTGAGGTCCTCCGACCAGCAGGGCTTAAGAGTGCGCCAGTCCTGTGTCATTCCAAGATATCGAAGGTTACAAGACAAGCACAGGGAATGCCATCGAACCAACGTGTGTTGTGAGAGTTGGCTGAGCTGTTCTCTTCTGACCTTGAGTTTGTGTCATTGTGTGCCAGGCCGATCGCTAGCAATGACTGGAAGGCGCAAATGAAGATCAGGCAGCTTGTGAAAAAAGTCAACGCAGAGATATGCAGAGTGGGGAGTGGATCATAAAATAAATTGAATGAGATTGATATGACTCGGTCTAGTGAGATTGGTGAGCATCTTTGTTAGTGCACTGTGGCGAATGACCTTGCGCTTCTGCATGCAGAACTTCGCCAGGCCCCAGAAGATACAGAATAAGTATGGTCTCTGGAAATCGAAGATCGAAAGTCTTGAGCCCCATTTACAATCCATTTAGAAACGCGCAGCAGTTCTAGCAGATGTAAACTTTGTCTTTTGGACACCTTCGCAGACATAACCAGATTGATTGGATTATATTAGATTGGGCTAATTAGAGATTTGCCATGAGACCAAAAAGTGACTCTTCTCAACGTTCTTTCGCCATGGATGAACTCTACAGCATTGGCCAGAAGGTTGCACAGGCCTGGTCTGAACTCATGACAACATGCCATTGCTGTCACTGCGAAGCTACTACCTTCAATCTCCGCAATCTTCGCAGTCTCCATTCCGAATCAACTAAATTCAAGATGTTTTTCCGATCTCGCGACTTGCAAAGTCAGCGAGACCTAGTCTCCATGTTGAAGTTACAGCTACTTATAGCTACTTCAATTTTCTAGGTAACAATAACTCTTTCAAACACATGGGCCACATGGGAAACTTGAAACCGCATCAGGGTGGTCAGCTCGATGGTGCGTTGGGGGATCCGGAGCAAATTGCCAAGCTCTTTCAAGGAGCAGACAATTCTGGACATGTGATGGGCATGTGGATTCTTTGGAAATACATACTCCAGCTAAGCTATTCTGCTGAACATGTGTAAGCCCTTCATTTCCTTCAGCAAGCAGCACTGTGTTTGCCTAAACATGCTAGGCCGTTTTTTGTGTTTGACAAGGTCTTGAATGCACAAATAAATGCAAGTAGCAGATACTAAATGCAGGAGCCAACATGGAGGAGTACTTGCAGAGCTACGAGAAGATGCTGCAAGAAGGTCTCGCGCACGTAGAATCATCCACAGACGTTTGATTTCACTTCCGCTCTGATGGACATGAAACTCTTTGGAGTTCTTGACTTTGTGTAAAGTGTCAGTTGTATCTACATCCCACATTCATCCCACCAGATTTTCTGCACCCAGGGATTGCCCCTGAAATGAGCGCTCCATTGGATGAGGCGGGGATGGAGGCCCGGGATGGCCCTTCCGGATGGGACAGCAGCCAGGTGGATCATGAAGGGGGTATCACCACCAGACCCGAGCCCGGATTTGCCGATGCCTCAGTCACTAGCTGCCACTAGGGCCCCCCAACCCCCCCAGCGACGTGTGAAATATCTCGTGCTGGGTACCGCCCCCACGGGAGAAATTAGCATGAGCTGCTCCAACAACATTTGCCGCCAAACTTGGTGAAGGCATCAACAGGACAGACAGAATTCAGTAAACATAGCAGCAACATAGCAGTCTAACACAAGCCCTCTATTCAGAACCACCAGAATCAAACGCACGCCATAAATGCAATTTCTATACGCAATACCTTTGCGCCACAAGACTTGGTGAAGGTATCGCACAAGTCAGAATTCAGTAAACACAGCAGCAATATAGCAGTCGCAACAGACACGCTTCCAGAAACAAATGAAGAGTACTAGATACATAAAAGTTTCTATGCGCGAGACCTTCACGCCGCAAGACTTGGTGAAGGTATCAACCGAGACACAACTCAGTAAACACAGCAGCAAGATGGCAGTCTAACACACGCTAAAGGAGCGCTACTTGATACATACCATCTAGCAAAGGTATATCTTAATAACAAGTCAAGGTGTATCCTGCGAAGATATGAGCACAAAAAGAAGAACGGATGTAGCATGGACTGCTCCAACAAATTTTCTGATTTGATCTCGATGTATTTATCTTTTCCGGGTGCCGTACCAGCATACAATCAGGCTACAAAACGTAATTAGGAAGAGCTCTCTAGCACGAATAGGAGAGGGCTGCTGATGATCTTTGCCAGAATTTGAAACCCACCCAGAACCGCCTTCAGAGCAGCTACTGGGTTTGTCCCCAAATATGTGAAACCCTTCAGTAGTCAAAAATGAAGCCGAGCTCAAGAGCACAACTATACAGGAAGCCTATACATGGAAGCTCGAATTGCGAGAGTCGTAGAAAGTTTTCATGACACACACACACATGAAACATAGTCGGAAATGTTGCTAAGGCATGCTAAGGCTCCAATTGCTATCCCCACCTTGCCGACTGTGCAACGGTCCTTTGCTTCCACCTTGCCAGACTAGCTTTCGCTCCCTTACCTTTGGTCTCAAGCGTTTTATTTGTTCTACATTGCTTGGAGTGCTCAGAGGAGCTGTCCGATGCGGTGGTGCAGAAGCGATGTGATTGTGTTGCACTTAGGTCGTGAAGACCAGAGACAATGCTTCAGGGGCAAAGGTCTTTATCAACATTGTGTCGAGCCCTCACATTGAGGCCGGCAGCCAGCACACTAGAAACTCTGGGAGTGACATCACACTGCGGCTCAACAAACTACTCTGCATGAAAACTACCTTACACCGCATCTGTAAAGGTTTGGAGCACTCAATCACGCAACTACGCGTGGAGGCACCGCACATGAAGAGCTACGTTGAGTTGGAAGGCGAACAAGGCTGTCGCGTGCCTTTGTCTATTGGCACTCCTGTTGAGGCAGGTCATTTCTTCCGAGTTGCTGCGCTGTGTGGTGCAAGGGCTGTGGGTTAAGAAGCTAAACTTTACTGGATTGTTCCAAGTGTTCCTTTAATTTCAGATTTAGATTCAGACCAATGAAGTGTTGCGCATGTGGCAGGAGGCAAACATTCAATAAGTCAATAATATTCAATTGCTGGGACGAAAGGACTTCGACAAGAAAGGCGAGCCTTGCGTCAGCTATGATGTGGTGGCCAATCCGGAGGCACACAATGAGGAAACAGATCTAATTTGGGATTTACCCAGTGCCATACTATCATTTGGGAATGGTACCACCTATGGCAAAATTGTGGTGATATTGGGGATGGTTGATGGCATTGGGCCTACCACAGTATACTGTATTCTGATTGCTGATCTTCTTGTTTCGTTTTCTTCCTGAAACTGCAACTTTCATGGCTCTAGCCGCTAGCCTATACAGTCTTGATTTGATTTGCAAGTTTTGCATTTTTTTGCGCCAGTTGGATTTGATTTCGATGATTTAGCTTGCTCAACTGGCTTCATATCCGATAGCTGCTTTTTCCATCACACTATTCCTTCACATCCCGGTGTTTTGATCTGTTTTGTCTTTTTTTGGATGTTAATTTGAGGCCTTTTGGATGCTTTTGGAAAAACGGCTCAGACGCGGTTGAGGTGGTTGAGCAATGCTCCACTGAACCAGCCTTCCGAGAGCAGGCAGTGGAGCAATGTGTCCTGAGAAAATAAGGTCCTTACAATAAGGGCGTGCCTGGGTGCGGATCAAAATTTCAGGTAAAGCTGAACTGCACATTTGGTCATATTCAGTGGGAAAGTTGGGAAAGTACTTGGATTCTCCAACATCCACAGGTGGTGCAGTTGTGCCTGGCAGCCGTGGCACAGAAGTACAAGATTGAGCGCCCTGGTGAAAGATTTGGATGGCGTGGATGCAGTAGGAAATTAACTTCCGACTGCTGATGCTGGGAGGTTAGATCCTCGTTTCAAGCTTCCGAAGATCAAGTACAAGGCAGGAGATTGACAGAAAGTAGGCTTTGGTGATTTGAGAGCAACAGAGAGATCTTCTGTTGTTGCAGAGATGGAACCAACCTACACTCCTACTTGATCTCGACAAATAGTATATATATATATAGTATGTCTTAGTTGTCTTATTCTATGATTTCTCTCTAATCTAAAAACACATTCTTTCTAGTAAATATATGTTGCTTGTGCTCATACATATATGAACGTGTATGTACACACATGTAGAGATGCTGCCTTGCTTGCCTGCTTGCCTGCTTGCCTGCACTTGCAAACAACGCAATTGGCCACATCTTGAAAGAGTCGCCAAGGAGCCAAGGAGGGCAATGTTGTTCCGCTTTGATCCTTTCGTTTGGTAGGCAATTGGTGTGTGTGTGTGTTGATCATGGCAGTTGCAGGGCACTTCCGTTCAGCTGCAGCGTATTCGTGGCTTGCCTAACACATGACAATTGCTTTCCCTTCTGTGGTCATGACTGCTGACAAGATGATGCCTTAAGTAGCAAGCCCGTTGTCATTTGGCTTCTTGCAAGTGTTTGAGGAAACTGTAGATCGCCGAGGTAAAAAGAAGGAATCACAGATCCAGGAGAAGTCTTGTCTCAGTGCGTCTTCACCAGCATGCTTAAACAGATCACATCTTCATGTGGTGCAACAACTATCATTCTCAAAAACCCACCGACCTTTCAATGCTGGTTCAATGGAACCATACTTGCGGCTGTCATGCAGATTGGCGCAAGCACCAGGAGGTTGATGACTCCAAAGCTCCCCTACCTGGTACCAGTGCTAGCAGGTCCTCTGAAGTGATGGGCTGCGTGGTTTTACCATTGGAATGGATGGTTTTTGGGTACCACTTTTGGATAAATCCATTTGAAGTTTTGCAAGTCACAACATGTTTTTTGTTGATTTCCACCTTATTTCCCCAACAGCAAAACTTTGCTATGGGGTCTTTAGCCCAGATTAGCTCCAGTGCGATCCGGTGCAGCTTCAACACCAGGTTCCGGACAAGGTTCCGGAGGGTTCTGGTGCAGATACCTTGTGAGGTTCCGGAGGGTTCCGGTGCAGATACCTCGTGAGGTTCCGGAGGGTTGTGGAGATACCTGCTGAGGCCCCGGAGGGTTCTGTGCGGTTCCAGAGGGTTCCAGCGCAGATACCTTGTGAGGTTCCGGAGGGTTCCAGTGCAGATACCTTGTCAGGTTCCGGAGGGTTCCAGTGCAGATACCTTGTGAGGTTCTGGAAGTTTCCGGTGCAGATACTTGGTTAGGTTCTAGAGGTTTTTGGTGCAGGTACCTGGTGAGGTTCCGGAAGTTTCCGGTGCAGCTACCTGATGAGGTTCCGGAGGGTCTAGGTCAAGATGCGTGGTGAGGTTCCGGAGGGTTCCAGGGCAGATACCTTGTGAGGTTCCGGAGGGTTTTGGCGGAGAAGATGGTTGTTGAGGTTCCAAAGGGTTCCGATGTTTTTTTTTTTAAATGGCATAAGCACTTTTAATGGCAAAACCGCAGAAGAATTCAAGGTGTTGGTGATGAGGGTTTTACTGAGGCGGGCCGCTGGAGAATCTGCCTTCCATGGGAAGCCGGCAGGTCCTCCCGAAACACGTTTTGTTGCCAAAAAATGAGAAATCAATTGATTGTTTTTGATCCATCTTGATCAATCGTGTAGGTTTTTACATGATTTTACATGAGGACTCGGATTCTTGGTGATTCCCCGACAGATGGTCCAGTACCTCCTGACTTTACCGTCTTCTACTCCTTGCCTGATGCTCCGCGGCTAGAGGCCAGGACAGATGTTGGTAATGACCAGGTGGCTAATTCACGCAGCCCAAATTTGCAAACTGTTGTCTTCAATGGCCTTATCGTTGCTGGGTAGTGCTTGTAATTTATGTCTTATCCTACTAGCCGCCTAGCCTAATTATATATGGTTGACCCAAAGGTGTGCAAGAAGTATAGATACAGATATGATAGTGATATAGGTATACAATGGTATACATAGATATAGCCATAGCATGCCATAGCTTTGGTCCTCCTTTGGATGGACGTCCAGGGGAAACGTCACGCGCCGATGCTGCCAGGATCCCTTTCAACGTGACTGGGGTTCGCCGCCGGAGGATGTTGAGGAGGCCATGAAGGCGCCATGGCCGCCACCAGATTTGTCGGTCCAGTGGTACCCCAAGGTTGAAAAGACGAGGGAGGGGAAAACCGTGGGTTTTTTGTTGTTCTTCCGATTTTTGTATAGGTAAATGATCTTTCAAGTATTTCCAGGGTGTCATGTTTTACCTTTTGGATGGTTTCAGGAAGGCAGTTGAGGTCATCCACTTTTGGCATCGGCTCCGTGACCACAGGAAGCTTACTTATTTGGCTTCGATTTGCCATGCTATCGTGTCAACACCTTCCAGGACGGGAGATTGAAGCAGCACCTCCATTTCTGTGTTTTTTTTTGAGCGAAGAACAGGAGAAGATCCGAGGAACAATGAAAAACAAGGCGGACTGGTGACAATGGACTTGAAATGACTTGAACAAGGATTGTGACTCAAAGCTAACTAATCTTCGCCTGGCTGATTACAGAATGTATTCGACACCGGAGGCTGACCGGGAAGAGGAAGAGGAAGATGCCGAGGCCAGAGCAAAGCAGGCGCGATGCCGCACTGGGAACATCCACAGCAGGGCGATCCAAGCTGTGTGGATGTCGCTGGGTTCAGCCTGAGGCCACGCGTGAGATGATTGCCACCAGGAGCTCTGTCGATGTCAGTGATGTCTATATATGTCTATCGAATTGTCTGCAATTGTCCATCCAGTTCCAGTTCCAAACAGAACTTGGCCGAGGAATTGCTGTGTGCAAGTGCGGTTGCCAGACTTAGATCCTCACCTGGCGTCGTTGAAGCAGTTTGCCTTGGAGGTTAGGGCAATGCAAGTGGCAGTTGATCGTCCAGCAAAAAGTATGTATCTTTTCATTTATTTCATTTCAATGGCTATTGTACTGGGGACAATTGGATTATAATCCAGTGGATTTGGGGGTACACTATTTTCAGCCAAATCTTAAATATTTTTCTGCCTTGAGTATCAGGCAGCTGTCCCAGTGTCTCCCGCAACTTCAATAGCAAACGTTTCATGGCAGGTGAGCGATGAATGCTTGAGGCAACCTGCCTCAGTCCGGCATTCAACAGTATCCTTCAAACCGGTCTCAGTTGCACCTATGAACGTTGGATTTGACCTGATATACCAAAGACCAGACCACCCGTGCATGCGCACAGTTTCCGACTTTCAATGTAGCAGGAATAGATTTCAGGGTTGCTTTTTCAGCTGAAATCTTGCTTGAATTTCCACTTCAGTGAGAGAAGCAATGCAAACCGTTTCCTGCAGGCTGAATTTCCCGATGCTTCCGCGTTCCCAAAAGTCTGCCTATGGGAATCTTTCGATTTGGTGGCTTCTGCCTCTGCACTGTGGGCATTGCTGATCTGTAGACATATGACACCCTTTTTCTTCTCAAATCTGGAATCATCGCCACCATTTTTTTTTGCTGATTGAAGGGCGATTCAAATCAAGTCACAGGGTTTGAATGATTGCTGTTTCGGTGCCGCAAAGGCATTACTAGCGTCGCTTAGAATGACAATGAAGAAGCAGACTGTTTTCACATTCTATGATCCGTAGCAAACACATTTCTGGAGTAGATGAAAGCAGTAAGCCTCGCATCTCAAAGATCGAGTGAGGCCATTACCTTTCAATGCTGCAGATGCAAGAGCAGACTGGGATCCCAAGGTGGGGCAGACATGGACAACTTTGATCGCTGAAGTCGTTGATAACAGTAACGCTGATACACTGAGTCAAAGGAAAACTAATCCGATGAGAGCAGTGCTAGAAGGGGATGTGGGTTGATGTGGGTAAAGTGTTTTTGCATGACATTGACAATACAGCGTTAGGAGTGATGACCTGTTTGTATCCCGTTTGTCACGTTGTGGATCTCTTCTGACCAAGCCAGGAATCTTGTAACACCTTGCTTTCCCACGCCGCTTGAAGCCATGCCACGTGCATCCAACCGCCTCTTGGTGTCGGCCCTACTTTGCGCGGGGGCCTTCACCGTGACGCGCTTGGCTTTTGTGTCAGCTCCAGCCAGTAGCTCAAGGCAGCACAGCCCCGTGGTGTTGTCAGCTCGTGGAGGTGGTGAGTATGACATCAGCGACGCAGACATCCAGAACTTCTACAACTCCTTGTTGACTGGACAAGGTGGTGATCCACCCAAGGGCACGGTCTTGTCCGAACTGGTGGTGAAATTCTTCCACGGTGATTTCACTCCACAGGGCTTCAAGCGCTACAGCGGACTTTGGAAGGGACCACCTCCAGGAAACATCGGCAAGAAGGACATCGCCGTGGGTGTGGCCAAGTTGAAGGAGCAGATGGCCAATCCCATGTTCGTCACCAAGGGTGGTGTTGGCTATGGTGTGGATGAGACACAAAAGGTGAGCCGCGGCTTCCAAGATGCTGGTTTCAACTTGAAACCAGTGCCAAATCTGTGGTCATCATGCTCCACAGAACCACCATAGAATGATAATTGAATATAAAAACACAATATCATATTGATATAAAATAGCTATTTGCTTAGAGAACCCCTTTTTAATCATATCATGAAACACATTATCATGACCCTTCAGGTGGAAGATGATGGCAAGGGCTGGGTGTGGCTGGCTGCTGAGATGAGCCCCGGAGGTTTGGCTGTGGAGCTCTTCAAGTCGGTTCCCTTTGGCAAACGTGCCATTTTGGTGGCCAAACAGAGCAACGTGGATGAACTGTTCCAGAAGGTGAACTGGGACACGGCCTTGGGTAACTTGACGAATTAGGTTCTTTTTTTTTGAACCCTTTAAGTGAAGATTGGAACATGTCTTCCTACTGGCTGCTTGATATTGAGGTGTAAGGTCAACAGTTACGATCACTCTTCGAAATCAGTGCCCTTACCGTTTGAACATAAATTGACATTATTTGACATTACTTGATTGACATTATTTGACCTTATTTGCCCGGAAAGATACATTGCTTGAATTTATTTGAAATTAATACTCTACATTCCGTGTTCAACCCTATTATATACTATTGCTTTAGCCTTCCCTTATCATTATAAAACGTAATAATAATGATAATAATAATAATAGTCATCATCACGATCATTTTATTACAATCAGATCATCATCATCTGATCCAGTTCAATCAGATCATCATCATCATCATCATGATGATGATCATGTAAGGCAACATCGAGAAGACCTTCGGAGGACCACAGGTGAAGCAGCGATAAGCTGGGATGAGATGAGTCATGAAAGTGGTTTGAATTGTGAAATTCTGCAAATTTGGGTAATGTACAGCGCAACTTCTGCGATATTTTTTCTCTATTAGACAACCTGTTTTTGGGCGGAGGCCATTTCCTCCAAAGTCGGAAGCAAGACCTTGTCGAGCAAAAAAGAGGGCCATCCATGTGCAACTTGAAGTTGACAGATCAAGAAGTGATTTAGATTTGCGGTTCATCCGTTGATGGTAGTCATCCAGTGCCAGGCTGACATCTTGACTGCAGCGGCCTCAAGATCCCGGGGGAGGATTTTTGTTCTCTTTCACCCACCCACACGCCACCAAGAAGTTGTGCAGACGTGTCCGAGTGACACCAACCCACCATAACCCACCTAACCGTTTGTTCGCCAGTCTACCCCTGCGGGGACACATGGACCTGCCCAAGAGTTTCTCCAGTCCCAGGTTTGCTTGCCCACGCAAAATGCAGCAACTGAAGAGGCTTCCGCGTGTTCAAGTGCATTTCCTGCATATCCTTGATGTAATCAGCTTCACTGTGAAAGGATAAACCGTTTCTGTTACTTTCAACTCTTCGACGAAGAACATGACTTGTTTCTGTGCAGGTGGCGTTAGCACATCCATAGATGTCAATAGATGAGGTAAAGCATGCAAGGGATAAAGGGGATGCTTGAAAACTCTTGGATGCAATAGGAATTTACTTGTTCTATCTTGTTCTGCTTCACGGACAAGTCTTTGCCAAGAACAGTTTGCAAAGCAAAACGGATGTATCCGCGGCTTCAGTTTGCGTTGACGCTTTGGTAGGTCAATGCCTTTGATCCCGCGTTGCTGAACGCTGTATTCTGAAGGCATGGCAGCATCGACCTATGCACGTGCAAATTGTACATAGGATTTGGCTGAAAGGTCCTCCGGCGGTACAAACTGGTGCTGCGGAAATATTGACTTGGCCAAATCGATGAGACAAAGCGACTCAAAAAATGGCAGACTCACGATGGTACCTGGATGTATATGGTATAAACTTCGGTGTACTATACAGGTTCTTAGCATTTCTTAGCCGTGTCTAGTGTATTGATGCAAGGGCGAAGGTGAGTCATACTGTACTGTATCCAGTTGAACATGTGGCATGGAAGATTCTGCAGATCTTACCGTGTCAATTGCGGGGGATTTCAAAGCGTAATGGCTTAAGCTCACAGCATCGAGCGTCAGTGTTAGCCAGATGCAGCTGGGTACTTGGTGACGACAATTTGCCCTTTCCGGGTGGAGTTGACTAGTTACTAGAGTCACTAGAGCTTGCTATAGCTATCCCGGATTATGAAAAGTGGACCTGAAGTTTGAAGTCACAGGCAGTTAAGAACTGACATGACATTGAAAGTTGAGGTATTTGAAAGACTTGGCATCTCTTTCCGATTCCTTTCCTGACAAGAGGATTGATTGGGTCTCATGGTCTCAGCCGAGGCTCCGCTACTACCTGAACGAGAACGGGAAGAGGGTATTTTGGCATCGCATGCTTCAATTTAAGGGCAACCGCAATTCTTTGTCGGACTTGAGCTGATGTTGCTCGGTTTCGACGCATCCGGTGTCCATTCTTGACAAGGTCTATACCCTGGACAGTGTGGTGCAGGCTGAGGGAGAGGCGGGTCTCCATGACATGTGTTGCATAGTCTGGAGAAGAAATTCAACATCTCCGAGGCAAATTGGTCGATTTTGGACGATTTGTCACCTCCAGGAGGAGAAGCCAACTTTCTCGGCTCATCCTGCAAGGCTCGGCAGACCCTTCAATGTTTGAAGATTTGTGGGATCAAATCACGGTTGTGATTAGAAACTATGAGATCACTATATATATATACACACATACATGCTATATTGTATATACATGTATATAATAGATATGATATAATCATTCTATAAATGTGAATGGAACCATGTCGGCATCCAGTGTCACACTTGTTCTGACACGTGTATTTGTTCATGTAGACAGAATTTCAGTTTGTGTGACATCGTGTTTGGTCAATGCAAGACATTGCAAGACCAAGCTCAGGTTCTCGCCGGATGACAAGTACTCGGAACACAGGATCAAGTCCGGCTCATAGTAATCAGCCTGGAGCTGGAGATTTCACAACTTTGCACCCAAAAGTGATATGAAGTTGTATCATGTTGTATCTACATGTCATTACTTCTAGTTATGCTTGATGCTGCGGAAGAAAGTTGGAACTGATTTTTTGCCTAGGTTTTCTCCGCACAGTCAAGAATGATAAGAATGATCTGTCTTTGCATTCTTTTGCTGTGGGGTGCTAGGTGCAAGAAACGCTTCGGCGTGCTGAAGACTCAGGCCAGGCCTTCCAGAACAGGCTGCCACAAGTGATTTCTGGAGACCATTGAGATGTAAAGTCCTTGAGCACTTTGTCTCGGCTAACCACAGTCCAGCCCTCAAACATCTGACCTTGCAGTTGAAACCAGAAGAGCTTTGATCTGGCAGTGCGGCAGTGCATGCCTCAGGGGAAGCACAGAAGGTATCGTGTTTATCCAGAGCAGTCAGTGGCATTAAGAGAGTTCCATCCCATTTGTTCAGTGCACAGCATTCCGACAACTCGAGTTTCTCTGGCTGTACTTTCTATGTGAATATTCTGGTTCCCTCTCCTTTGTTCGTTCCTTCTTGTGTTCCAAGGTGCTCCCACTTTTCGCAGTTTCACCACAGATTGGAGTCACGCGCGACACAGCATTTGCCCAGAAAAGGATGTGACAAGCAGGGAACAAAGAAGCGGATAGACAATGTAAGCATTGTTCGATTGCAGATGTGGCTTTCAACTTCAGATTCTGCCTTGAGTACAGTTGGAGTCTCGAAGAGGCATCAGCTGAGTTAAACTTGTCTTGTTAGATACACAATGTCCACTCCATCTGTGATAATTTCCGAGATGTTTGTCCCGACTTTCCAGTGAGTCATCACGTATCGAGAACTCTGCTATGCCAATATCCGCAGGCCATTGGCTGTCATTCAAGATGAACATGCCATGGACAGCTGCCAACCAGCCGGTCAGATGGTCAATCATTTAATCATGGGCATGACAGTGGCATAGGTGGCTTTAAAGATGCACAGCGATTGCAAGAACCCTGAATTAGTGCAGGTTGTAAAAACACACCAAATCCTGAGAGATCTCGTGTCAAACTAGATGATGATAATTGATGATACCAGGGAACGCCAGAAGCCGTCCAAGAAACTCTATAGTTCAGTTCATGCCTTGGGCTTTTGGAATCGCTTGAAAACGACCTTTGTTTCGCATTCGTCGATTGGCTCTCTTGGTGCTGTGGCGTGGGAAATCTATGCCACTGCAACTGGCACCGCTGCACAGCCATGATCCACCGTTTCAGCTTCCAGTCTCCGGTTGCTTTCACTGAATTGGCATGGTTGATGGAATCGCGTTCCATATGTAACTATGACATACTATGACGCTGTATGTCATAGATGACTCATAGATGTTTGAGTGGGGACCTGAAGCAGGGACGGTGTAGATGTCTTTTCAGACCATTTTTGAACCGTGAAAATGCCTTCACGAGAACAACTTCCAACAAGACAACCAAAGTGCACTCTGGAGCGAGGCTCGGTCACGATTGGCCGCCGGCCCAACAACACGTTGGTTTGCAATGACATTTCTGTCAGTGGAAAGCCCCTTGGACTTGTGCGAGTGAACAAATTGTAGATCATATTCTTGGCATTTGCACTAGCACATCTGGCACCTGTCGAAATTGCACGTTTGTGGACGTCTGTGAACGTCTTTGGGCACAGCAAAGGCACTGCGAGATCTCGATCGCGTCTGGTTCTGTCAAGATCTCTGACTGCAGTACCAATGGCATCTTGATTGCACCTTCAACAGGTTAGGTCACAAGGTAGCATGTCCCTGAGCAAGGGCTCTTGTTTAGCCTTGTGCTCTTTTTTCATCCAAATTCTATGGAAAAGTCGAGGGACTCCAAGTCAAAAAGGCTTTCAACTTGCAACAGCTTCACGGGTGGCAGGTACATACATCAACGATGAACGCATCGTCAAAGGCGAGGTGGCAGAGGTTCATCCTGGCGATGTCATAGCTCTCACGAAGCCGCATCCACCAGGCGCCTGAGGTAAGGGATGCTTCGTTGCAGTTTCGACAGGCTTCTTAATGGGAGCATGGACAATTACTTCCGCTGTCCAATTTCTATTTTGCCGTTTATTTACTTGTACGTTCCGATTTATAAACTTGGTGACCTCGTCCAGACCCGATAGAAAACTACTTGCTCAATCTTGCTCCATTCTTTCTTGGAAAAACATGAAAAACCAACTTCATGTGTGGCAGGTGCATTAGACAGTACGGTGGAGGCTGCGGTAAGAGTGCAGTTCCGCCTGGAACATGCCACAGGCCGGGAACACGGGCTGTGTCCTTCGGTCATTTACTTCGAATTACCCTGTGGTCATTAAACATAGCTATGGAAAATCACCTTAATTTAAATAGGCAATCATCTATAAATGGGCCATTTTCATTAGCTAAGTTGAATTACAAGAGGGTATCACGATTGGATCCCAATGTACTGGTTGAGTGTTTGGGATAGGATTTCAAGGATCCTTTTTCACTCCATCACTTCTTTGGACTGTGCTAAAACAAGATCTGATATACAGGCAAGTGAATCACTTGTTTGGTGTATAGGCCAATTATTGGATTTGCACCAAAAGTCATCCTGCAGCCGTGACATCGCATGTTCTGCCCACTCCCAGGTGCACAGAGTGATGCAAATGGCAATGGCGGTCTCACTTCTACGGCGCTTCGAGGCTTTCAGCTCTGCTTTGTTTGTACACTGATATGTTTTTGTCCAAGTCATTGATCAAGAACCAGATGCGATTTAGGTGCAGTAGCCGGCGATCAGAAATTGTCAGGCAGTTGTTTAAATGTGCAGAATACATCAATTTGGATGTCTTTCGTCTTGTTTCATGCATTGTTTCAGATTTGTTTCATCCTTGGATCAGGAGAGCCAGCAGCAACGTTCTCGCAAAGCTGCCCACTGAATCCGCCGAAGCGGGCATCAACCACTGCGGAAGGCTTTGCACATGACCTGCTGATGCAGGAGCAACAGCTCCTTGCCAAAGAAAGCCAACTGTCAGAGGGATTGGCAGCATTGACAACAAACCAGGGCTGAAGCGGAAGATATTTTCGGAATGTTTTGGATCTTCAGGTTTCTCCCCCCACTTCGGGTGTTGGGGATGGTTTCTCCTTGTTATGATTTTCCCACCACCGAACGCCTTTCCCAGGTGCAAAGCCAAGATTACCGGTGAGCTTTTGCTCGCACGCCGACGGTTGGACGAGGAACGTTCCAAGAGCGACAGCCTTGCAAGGCCATCTCCTGGGTTTTTGTGGATCTGAAAATGGGATGCCCCTCAGAATTGTAGCTTTTAATGGGGATACAAAAAATGACCAGATGATAAAACCAGTGGATTGAGGATGATCTAGGCATATGTAAAATATATTAAGATTGATATACTTGTAGACCCCCAATTTTGGGTAAAAGACATGGGTGCGAGTGAGACACCGGTCAGTTGAAAGAGAGGACTGGTAGTCCCTCTGCCAGTTAGCAGACCGGCAGGGAATGAAATGCCGGTTGAGTCTTTCCTTCTCAGCCTACTGGTAGTGATGTTTCGCGTTGTTGTTCATGTCATGACACGTTCTTCCTAGCCACGACAAGAGATTCTTCTAGGCCCAGCCGCAACAACAGATGTTCCAGTCACAAACTAGCCAAGCTCTTTATCTATGAACAGGGTTCCGGTCACTCATGCAAACGTGGTTGTGAAAAGCTGTTGTGTGGCTACACAATTAGATGTTCGTGATAACAACCCTCCAGAAAAGTTTGCGGTTAGTAGTCTGCCTTGGCAGATCTAATTTTGATCGCGTAGGTCTTGTCTCATTGGATTCTCATTGGAGATATGGGAGAAATTGGCAAAACACAGGAGAGAGACAGAGACAGAGAGAGAGAGACCCATCCGTTCCAAGTCTTCACAAGCTGTCGTTTATTGCATTGATATTTGAGAATGGAATTTGTTTCGCTGTGGCTATCTATATGAATGCATATTCCATATTCGTCCATATCATCCATATTCAACATATACTATACTAGCACAAGATAAAAGCCTGTTGCCAAATCGGTCGAAGGTTCGTAAATTGACGGACCTCTGGCTCTGCTTTTATTTTTAGCTGACCACAAATGCAAGGATTTCTTGGCAACCTGTATCTAGTCTCTGGTTGGTTGAATTCAAAGGGGTTAGCAACTTCCCCATGGGGATTCCGATCATCTCAAAGATCACCTCCAGTGGCAGCCAACCACGACATTCTCCGCAGGGACCTGAGGAAGGCCAAAGCCAACTTGGAAGAGGAGCGTCGCCGAAAGAGCGCTGCTCTGGATGGCCGAGAAGCGCTGAAAGCAGAGGCACTCGCCGCTCTGGGAACTCTTGGAAGCCCAGGTACATAGGAAAGACATTGAGTTTTTCTTTGAAACTGAGAAAATTATGGACCTTGTGTATGAGCTGAACATTGGAAGTGATTTGCCCGAGAGTTCATCTCATGTCGAGTTTCTCGGAAAAGATGAGGACACGGACGTAACTTTGTATGCATGCACACCCACATATATATATATATATTATATACACATGCATATCATATATACATATACATATCATGTATATACATATATATATATATAACACAAACACAATTAACAAATGCACTTGCGAACGCCCTTCAATCGCCGAGAGGCTGCCAAGTTGAAAGACAATCGTCATCAACTTCCAGAGATGAGGACAGCCGCCCGTGAAGACAACCCCGGTTGGTTGATGATTATAGTAATCATTGGATTGGTTTAAGAGAACATTTACAGGAAACCCCCATATTTACTAGTAAAACCATGGATTTTCCCTTAAATCAATCCACTGAAGTAATTCAATAGGGATTTTAACCATGAAAATATGGGGATATAAGTGGATATAACACGATATAATTGAAAATAGCTGGAAAATGATGATTGGTTGATGACTAGTTCGGGGACACACACTCACCAATATCATGGGGAATATCACAATACATTGTCCTTTACTGTCAATTCGATATTCAGCATAGAAGGAGATCCCACTTTGCAGTGTCCCAGGACTGAGGATGCTGCAATCATGATATATAAATGTATATATATATATATATCAATATGTATAATATAATACAATATAATACAATATAATACAATATAATGTACTATACTATAACATAATCTGAGGTAATATAACATAATGTAATGTAATATGATATATAATATAATATATAATACGATATATAATATAATACATAATATAATCTATAATATAATATATAATGAAATATATAATATGATATATAATATAATATATAATATAATATATAATATCACATCTAATATATAGTATCAACTATAATATATAATATCAAATATAATATATGATATAATATATAATTCTAAACATTCAGAGGTTTGCATTACCTCAGCCATCTGGCCAAAAGTGCGGCTGCTGCCGCAGGGATATAGGGCCGCTTTGCATGGTAGCGCGTCCTGGTGTGGCCAAGCGCAAGGGCTTGGCTGCAATATCCAGCCCGCTGTGCCTCGGTTCCAGCCCTTCGACAAGGAGGCAAAGCTCTTGGAGGTGGACGGCCTTCATCACTGTGAGCTTGGCGGTGATCGGGCTTGCAGCCTATTTCGAGGCCTACCTGGTGGTGATTGGATTGGTTGTGGGCGATGGCAACTCTGGAGGACGTGGTGACTGCGATGCAACAGCTGCAGCAACAGGTGACGCAGACTGCAGCGGAAAATCAGCAGCTTCGAGACCGGTTGACGACCTTTGAGCAGCAGCAACAATTCCACTCACCGACCCATGCAGGTGGAGCCCAAGCGGTGCAGGTTGGAGAGGTTCTGGCAGCATTGAGGGATCTGCCGGAAGCTCTTACGAAGATGAGCCGCCCGAAGGGCCTGATCGACAGTCGAGGACTTGGCCGACCTCAAGTTCTTGGAGATGACGCCGAGAACAGGTTCAGACCGTGGGCCATCAAGCTCGAGGACTATGTGAGTGGGGTCTTCGGTGGAAAGAGCAGGGAAGCTCTTGAATGGGCGGCCTCGATGGACAAGGGGTGACGCAGACTGAGGTGGACAATAGCTTCGGCATGGCAGCTGACCTGAATGATGTTTGGGAGGAGGTGGATGAGTTTTCCAAGCAGCTCTACACGGTGCTGAGGGCCACAACAGAGGGAGCCCCGTTCGACCTCATCGAGAACGTCCCGACGGGCAATGGCTTGGAAGGATGGCGCCTTCTTCACAGGCGTTTTGACCCATCCACAGGGTCTCGGAAGCGGGTCATGCTGCAGGCTCTGACGAGCCCTGAACGGGCCACCTATGACACCTTGCAAGGGGCGTTGGAGAGGTGGCAAGCCCTTCGGTCACGATACGACCGCAAACGTGACCAGTTCGGTGCACGTGAGGCACTTCCCGAGTCTTTGGCCATGAACGCCATGGAGAAGCTGGTTCCGAAGGAGTTGGAGACGCACCTCATGCTGAATTACACGAGGTTTCGGAACTTCGACGAGATGGAGCAGGAAGTTTCCAACTACATGGAGGCCAAGACCGGAAGTCGCCTGACTATATCCAGCAACTTTGCCAAACCGACATCATCATCAAGTGCGACACCTATGGACGTTGACTCTTTGGTCAAAGCAGTTTCAGGAAGTATCAGTTCGCTGGTGGTGTCAGGGGGCAAAGGTCGGAACAATAACAACAAGATGACCCAGAAGTTCGAGGGCACCTGCGACAATTGCGGGAAGGTTGGACACAAGCGCCGTGACTGCTGGTCCAAGCCTGGTGGAAAAGGAGGAGGAAAGCCTTCATCCCCGAAGTCTTCTCAGGGGAGCCCCAAGAAGTCTGATGGAGTCAGGTTCAACGGCAATTGCAACTACTGTGGGAAGCAGGGGCATAAGAAGGCCGAATGCCACTCCTTTCTGAACAAGGGCAAGGGCAAGTCCAAACAGTCCCCAAAACAAGGGAAAGGAAATGCCAACTCAGTGGAGCAGGCCGAGCCGGAGCCACCGAATGATGCAGGTGGTTTGGACATCTGCACCCTGGAGCTGAAGACACCATCTCCAAGCCCTGAACGAGGACCTGGTGGTGGTACTTCTTCCTCGACGAGGCCTACATCGACGGCAAGACCATCGACAGGACCGAGAAGGGTGGACTTTGTGACGGTGCAGTGCGAAGATCACTCCATGAGGGAGGCAAGCAGGAGCCGAGATGACAGCCAATGGAGCGAGTCGAGAAGCAGATCACCAGCGAGATCTCGGCAGTCTTCGGTGACCCATGTGAGCGCACTGGAAGACCAAGGATGGATTCGGTGCAACTTCGACACTGGAGCTTCGGTCACAGTCTTCCCAAAGGAGCTCTATGACGTTGAGGAGCACTCGGACCTGAAGATGAGGACGGCCTCAGGTGAGATCATCAGAGGCTATGGGGAGGCAACCATCAGGGGGGTTGACACTCAGGACATGAGGAGGAAGATCCATGGGGAGGTGACGGATGTCCACAAGATCTTGGTGAGTGCATCGAAGGTGCACGGCAAGGGCTACTGCTCATGGCTGGCAAAAGGTGGAGGAGATATCATCCCCTTGTCGCACCCCATCTACAAGGCATTGGAGAGAGCCTATGTCGAGGCAGTTCAAGAGCATGGACGAGAAGGGCTCATCCCGGTGCTGGAGGAGAAAGGGGTGTACAATTTCTACTTGAAGGAGGAGCGCACTGCAGACGGTGTGGACTCCCCTGCAACTCCACCTGGCGACCCAACAAATGATCAGGTTTGGCGACGATTTGGTGATGCGCCGATGCCTGCATTGAGGTCCCCATCAAGGTCAAGGTCGAGAGATCATGTTTGTGCGGTAGAAGATGCGCTGCAAGGAATCTTTGATGATCCCCCAGAAGATGAGCCTGGTCGTGGAGTCGCTGAAGGCGTTGAAGCAAGGCCAGCAAATCCTGGGTGGACTCCTGTTTCCTACACCTGCCGAGAGGGCAGAACATGAAGCCAGTGGACACGCAGTTTACAGGTCTTGGTGTGAGGAGTGCCTGGCTGCGACTGGCCGATCACAACAACATCGCCGTGTTGATCATTCAGGAGACCTTGTCGACACGGTGGTGATGGACTATTTTTACCTTGGAGAAGCCGAAGGTTCAAAGCCGCATTTGGTGGCTCAGGATCGTCGCACTGGAATGATGCTGGCGACGGCGTTGGAGAAGAAGGGCGTCAATGATGGAGCAGCCCAGAAGATCTTGACCAAGTACCTGGAACTTCTCGGGTACCGGGAGGTTGTCCTCAAGTCCGACGGTGAGAGGGCATTGGTGTCGCTGAAGACATTGGCTGCGCGGAATGCCAAGTGCGTAGCCCGGGCAATCAATGAGGAATCGCCTGTGGGAGACTCAAAGGCGAACGGTGAGGCTGAGGCTGCAGTGAAGGAGGTGAAGTGGCGAATCCGGGCAATCATCATGACCTTGGAGAAGAAGCTGAACACCAAGATCCCGGAGGGCCACCCTTTGTTGACCTGGATCCCCAGGTATGCAGCTGAGCAGTCCAACAGGTTCAAGGTTGGGCATGATGGACGCACCCCAGAAGAACGACGGACTGGCAAGAAGTGGATCCGACCTATGCCACTGTTTGGGGAGCGCATCATGATCAAGCCCGTGGGAAAAGGGAGACGTGGAGACCTCAAGAAGATGAAGCCTGCGAGGTTCTTGGGATGCCACAACCGCTATGGCAGTGTCCTTGGAATGACGGAAGATGGCGTGGTGGTTGGAAGCTCGTACCACAGCCTTGCAGAAGAGGACAAGTGGCTTCCACTTGAAGCTGGACTACGTGGTTCGCCCTGGGACGTCAACGACTACATCAAGCAGATGCAAGAGGTTGGAGAGCAGATCCCAGCGCAGTTGCCGGTGGTACTACAACCTGCTCTTCCAGCACTTCCGGGAGAACCAGTACGTGATGGAGCTCAAGAAGGTGAAGAAGCTGTGGACAAGGGCCCATTGATCGGAGCCCCGAGTGCCAGTGGTCAGAAACCATCAGGGGGCAGGTTGAGAGCTTTCCCAGTGAGAAGGGAGCACTTGGCGACCTTTGGAAAGACTCGAGAATGCCCTGGATGTGAATCGATCACCAAGGGCTTGGGCTTCCAGCAGATCGCACACAATGAGGACTGCCGAATGAGGATCAAACGATGCCTTGAGGAGAAGAACCAGGCTGAGCAGGAGAAGATCAAGAAGCAGAGAGAAGAAGATCAAGCGGTTGAGTCCAAGATGAAGTTGGCAGAGGATGTGCCGGCAGAGGCATCTGGTAGCTCAGGTTCAGCAACAGGTGCAGCGCCTATGGCTGCTGAGATGCCTATGGAGGAGAGAGTTACCTCACCCAAGAGAAAAGGTGGTGAGGGTGGAGCTCAAGACATTGAGGACCTGTCCAAAGAAGTTGAAGCTGAGCTGGACAGCTCCTTGCGAGAAGAGAGCCTGAAGGCCATGGAGGCAGTGATTGGAAGCTATGAGGCGGCGAAGATCATCGCGGACATTGGTGCCATGGATGTGGTGGAGGTGTTTTCGCCTGCCAGAATCAACCAGGAAGTTGAACGTTTTGGGCTACGACATGGTGTGGCCATTGATCTGGAGGAGATGAAACCAGATGGCAGCCGCCATTGGGATCTCGACTTGGACGAGGCCTTCCAGGAAGCCCTGAACCTCATTGTGATGGAGCAGCCGTTGCTGGTGACTTCATCACCCCCATGCACGACATTTTGTCCTTTGAGGAGGCTTTCGAATGGGAAGAGGGATCCA